AAACACACACACACACACACACACACACACACACACACATCTATGTTCGCCGCCCAACAGAGCGCATCGAGGCTATGATTCGTGGGCCCGGCTCAAGGTCACGACGCAGTGGCCATCCATCGAACTGCCGTCACCGTTTGACATTGTCCGACACACTGCCGACAGCATTTCAAAGAGAAGCTGACCATCCAGTCCAGAAATAGTCAACGGAGTGAGGTTTCTCGGTGAACACCTGACAAACACAATTTTTAATCACCAACGTTTGCTCCAGTTGAGGCGTAAGGTCTAACCCGTAGCCCTGTTATAGAAAAAAAAGTAATTGAAACTGTTCTACGCCGTCTTGTCCATACAACGATAGCAACGGTATCTTTCCCATTCACTGTTTTATACAAATTTGATCATTTAGGAGGAGGGCTGCTTTGGTCCTGTCTATCAGGGACAATCCGGCGTGAGGAGTATACGATATCCCTGCAAGACAAACAGACACACTTGGGAGTCGAATCTTTTACGTCTTCTCCGTGCGCAACAGTGAAAAGTCAAACCACAGACGTCGGTACAGGCTATTAAAACAGGTCATTTCCAGGGCGGAAGAAATGCTACCACTCACAGAAACAACGGACTGACAGATTACTACAAACAAGAAAAATTTGGGTAATGATTGAGGACGACCCCTTAACTTTCGTCGCCAGTTGGTCAAGTTTACAATCATCCGTGCCAGTTACCTATGTCACTTTTATAATAGAGAAAATCGTGGCCGCCATCATCGTTATTGTTGTTGTTGTTGCTGTTTGTTGTTGTTGCTGAGACAATAGCCACCGTTATTATGTGACGACAATATTTGGTTCTTCGGGGGGGGGGGGGTGTTACTTCAGTTTCAATCTCAACATCACCCACGCATTGACAGACGTAAAGTAAAATAAACGGATTAACATGCACCTCTGTAAGATCACGTCCTCGTTCTTTACAGTTCTGCACGTTGCACATGCATGCGTGCTAACGTACCTGCAGAGGCACGAGGGACTCAGGGTGGATAAATCTGACATTTATTGCCGTATCGGTATAAGAAGCTCACGGCGGATGGTTAGCGGGTGCTCGGTGTGGTTTGCTCCTTCTGTCCTATCAAACATCTATCGTCCTTATCTCTCCTCCTTCTTTTGTATGTTTGTTACTCTCTTGTACACCTATAATCGTTGGTACTCATATGAGCTTATCGTGTTGCAAGTGCTGCAAAACTGGTACTAAAAAAAAAGAAGCTCAAGGCCGATTCAGCCAACAGTGGTACCACGCAACTAGAGTGAAAGGAGCGAAAAAGAAAACCAGTGGATCCTACAGAAGCCCATTGCAGAAAATAAACAAAGTGCGCATGTGTCGATAACGAACAAATATCACGATGTCAGTCTATAATTTTATACCACAAACACTCCTCTAAACAATAAGAAATGGAACAGTCGGTCATAGTGAACAACATAAGGCGATGACGTCGATTGTGAAGCTTTAATGCACCAAATAAATGTGTTAATTATACTCAGAAAAAGAGCAAACTGTGTTTCTTTTTATGGAGGAAAATAATATTTTCTTATAAAAACATTATATCATTCTGAATCGACTTTATACCAAAGAGTCTATTTTCGAAGAAGCACATGTTTCTTTTCATTATACTTTGAAATTTTCTTTTAAAACCTATTTTAATTTTAATCTAAAGAAATATAATAAGAAACTAGTACCCCTTCGTCAACGTTCAAATAGCAGTGCCAAAAGCACAGGGTAAGCGAATGTGTGATGGGAAAAAAACAGAACGGGTAACGCAGAGGATCTAACTTGAGTTTGCGTGTGTGGGGGGGGGAGAGGAGGTGGGGGCGAAATTGGAGGGGGGTGTCTGTCTCCTCCATAATTGAAAGGTCACATCGCATGGGGAAAGGCCACCAGACATCAAAATAGACATTGCAAGAACAAACACTCCAATCCGCCCAGCGTTTTCTCTATACCAACAAAACGATTAAAATTAAAGCAAAGCAGATACAGTGTCAAAACACGAAGCCATGTCAATCCACGAAGAGAGCGCTTTAATAGTCTTGTTCGACATTTGGCAGTGACTACTGAAATTCGAAGAGGTTTTTTGTTTGCTTTTTTTTCGCTTTTCGGAACAAAACGATCAAACGAATGATCGTGTCTGCAATTTTCTTGCTCATTTTATACAGAAAGTGGCATAAAACTAATCTGTCAGACGGAGAGCCTCTATGGAAACAAAGGATAAAAGGTTTGAATATAAAGATGCCCTTTGTGTTTAATCCCATAGCGGTTGGGGGGTAGGGGGGGGGGGCAGGAATCCGATAAGGTTTTGTTTAGGGGTTATTATAAACCAAAAGTGCCAGCAGGTTACGAAAATAAATCCTAAACTTTTTGAGCTCCATGGAAACACGCGTGCGGGGACTCCAAATGTATATCATAACATATTGTATCAATAGTGTTTTTATATCAGTTATACAAAGGCCAAATGAAAAAAAAATCCTGAGATTTCAGAAATCAAAACATCCGGATTTCCATCCAGACAATCGGCACCTCTGGTAGACTGAGGCCTTTTTCCGGATCAATTTAAAAATCCAAAGAACGTCAACAGTACATTCACCAATGAGGCTTCCGACAAACGTCTGTTCTGCAATGTAAAAGTCCGGTTGTATAGCAGATGATAAACCCGAAAAAAAACAAAGAAAAAGAAACTACGGCAGGCGTGGCCAAGATAAACAATGATCGTGATGATAACCTTAGCAAGATAGTACGGAGGAAGTATATGTATGATGATAACCTAAGCAAGATAGTGCGGAGGAAGTATGAGCCTTGTGTGTGAGTGTGT